TCGTTCGGAATCCTACTTCATCTTGTTTTTTTAAATTTTTTATGTTCTTGTTTGTGTTGATTTTTTAATAATATTTCGTATTTTTGTTGGTTGTTCGGAATCCTACTTCATCTTGTTTTTTTTAATTTTTTATGTTCTTGTTTGTGTTGATTTTTAAAATAATATTTATAGTATTTCTTTAGTTGCAATTGTGATACTTGTTGATTTTACACAAACAATAATCTTCTTTATTATTATTATCACTGTATTCATAGCACTGCAACGACGTCAGGACACTGTAGCAACACCACCTTAAATCAGACATTTTCTTATTGTAGATCACGTGATATATTTATTTATTTTTATATCTATTGAGATGCTCTGCTATCGTAGTCTACTGTGGCTATCGTGGAAAGATCATTGCCTCCTCATATTATCATCCCATGGTGCTATTACTACTATTATTAGTCTAAGAATAGACATGCTGAAGGAATATCAACTATACTAATGACAAGTGAAACTAATACTAGTCTTGACACAAGTTCTTGTTCAAGAATCTGTGAGCTAAGAGTGTCCATCTTCCCTGCTATTCCTGTTCTTCCAGGCTGTTGTCAAGTTCATAATTATCATTGCATATCACTAAGTCATAACATTAATTACTTGTTTGTTTTTAAAATAAAATAAAATAACACTTGATAAAACAGTAACATATAAATCAATACCTTCTTTTAGCTGGAAACCTCCATAAAGTATTGCAGTAAGTTGATTCCAAGCATAGCTTGGTAAAAAATAACTTGCTTCTTCCAGAGCTGCAGATCTGAGCATGCGCGACCACACCCAAATTTTGGAGCACATGGCAAGATTCTTTAATTAACAAAATGGCGGCATGCAGCTAAGATGGCTCGATCCAGCAGTCACAGTATCACTTTTTCCTTACTTGAAGAATGATCTGATGGGACATGGACCTGCGCATAGACTGTTGGAGTAGATTGGTGTAAGAATTATCCTCGTAGCACCAACTGATACTGAGATACACACCGACAACTGGATTGACAGGACTTGATGATGAAGATGATGAAGATGAAAAAAGGTGGCTGAACAAAACGGCCGGTTCGCCGATTTTTGACTTTTCACTTAGACAAGGTCTAGAGCCACGCTAGTTGTACCATTGGAGTCCTCTGGTCAAGATAAGGTCCTCTATAAAGTCTGGTAAGCATTGGAGCTCGTTTTCCCGGTATAGCAAGGCTGCAAAAGTCGTGGCAGCCATTTTGTTTGGGGGTGAATCCTACTTAGTAACGCTACCGCGTTACTAATAACGCTACCGCGTTACTAATACAGAGTGCTGTTGCAGGTCAGTAGCTATTTTAATTTTATTTTTATTACCATATATACTTGTACTGCTATAGATTTTCCAACATTGATCAGTTAATCAAGCACTTGCAGGAAAACCACAATCACTCTATTGAAGTTAAAATGAGGAAGTTTGATACAATGGAGGATTTTATGGCCTGGAAATCAGACTTTGAAAAATCATCTTCCTCATCATATGTCTTGCATTCTGCTCCTCAGAACGCGTGAGGATCATTCATGTTACTATTATTA